ATGTATGGATCACTTGGGTTGTTACCAACATCTGGTGAAAATTTCATGTCATTAGCACCTCTAGTAATATATTTACTGAGAAAAATGTTGACGTGTAAAGACCATTATAGATTTTTTTAACCAGTTATTTTCTGGTAGACATGAATTATCAGCACCTTTATTCAGATGTTAATTCGCAATGCAAAATATTATGCTTAGTATTTTTTTTTTTTTGCGATGGGCAATTTTAAGTGGCAATGCAGTACATAATTAATTTAAAATTATTTTTGTGATATTTATGAATGGAAATTGTGAACAGTTTATTTATTCGAAGATTACTTTGTAGTTGTTAAGTACAAAAATTATGTGTGGAGAAACAAGGATGGACAGAGAGGGTGAACGAAGTCAACAAGAGGGAAAAAGAGACAGAGAGATGAAAGGGACAGAGCAAGACCTGGAAGAAACAGGTGAGATGATGAGCATATAATTTTAAARGGACAAAAACACTTCATTGTTAAGATGAAAAATCAGCATTATTTTATATATACACCCATTTTTTGTCTAGGACTAGTTTAAGTCCCTCTTAATTTTGAATTATTTTGTCATTCAAGGAGAGAGAGAAGAACAGGGAGAGAATCAGTTTTTGACCAATTCTATAGTTGATTTGGTCAATAGAGTAATCCCTGGATATTCAGGTTTAGGAAAAAAGCATCATATGATGAAGTCAAAACTAACTCATGATGTTCTGCCACTCCTCTTTTCTTGAATAGTATTTTAATATTTTCTGCAGTTGATATATATTTTTGSTTTGTGCATTATTAGAACTGTTTGTAATTTGACTATGTAAACAAGTTTTAACAGGTTTGATTGGATGAATAATGGGTTAGTATGATCCTGGTACTTAGCATTGTTAATAACTCTTGTTTATCTTTTTTGAAGTTTGATTAGTGACTGTCGTGTTATTTTGTAGCTCTCTGGAGTCACTTAAATAAGGTAAAACTAAAGACCAGTACGAAATGTTAGGGTTAGGCAGACTATTCTTTGTCTGTGAAAAGAAAGCTGTTTTGTACTGAATTTATGATCGGTCCACTTCAGGAATTATGAACTTAAATAGCAAAAACCTGACTCATAATGTCTACTTTTACATAGATGGACATACATTCAAATACATTGTTTAAAGAAAAAAGGCCAACAGCCACATAACCTTCAGATGAAAAATAAAGGTAATTCAATTTCTATGTATGATTTTCAAATAAAATTCAGGTTAATGACTAGTTTACACTTTTCTACCTTGAACTGGTTTTATGTGTATTAATCCTATGAATTTAGTAAAATGTTCTTCAAATGACTGGAAATGCATAGAGTAGATTTTATTGTCATTTCCAGGGAAGCGGACTCCACAGCTGCTTGTGTCTCTCATTAATGTTAGCAGATGTTGGCAGGTGTAGTCTTGAGATTCTGTTTCAAACTGTGTATATATATATAGTTGTTAACTGTTTTAGTTGGACAAAACTATTTAATTTTGTATGTGAATGTAAATAACCAGTGACATTTAGAAAAATGCACCAACAAATATCTTCTCTTGGGCCCTGCTGGGGGCTAAGCACCCCTAAAAGTCAGATCCTAGAAACGCCCCTGTCTGCAAGGCAGAAAGAAAAAAAAAAGAGTAGAACTTTAATAACAGAGTCTTCAGGACAAAATGTCCACAGCTGGCCAGGAAACTGAACTCCTTCCTGATCCAAACCTCAGATGCCGGCATGCTTACTTATTATGGTTCGTCAGAATTATTTAGCATTTATTCCGGACTTTTATTAACAGGTAAACTCATTAGTCAAAAGCATTTTTTCTGAGTAAACATTTTTATTCATTGTAAGGGTTTCACTCCTCTTCATTTAGTAATCTAAAATATAAATTTGTACATTAAACATGAAGTATACTCATTTCTTAATCATCATATTCGCAACTCATTCCTTGGTTTGTTTATAAAGATCCCCTTTTGTATTATACCTTCAATTCTTTTGTTTCAGAGGGTCAAACTGTCAAACAAGTGCTGTATTCCTCGTCAGCTGCAGGTGGTTCTGTAAAAAATAAAAAAAGTCAAGAAGCAGAACTTCTAAATGGAACGCAGCCCTCATTAACACACCTGTGCGTTCCTGACTTCTCAAACCAAAATGTCAGCCGGGTAACAGTGTTAGAATGCACTCATTGTTCTTGCAGGAGGGATTTATTTAAGCAGATTAACAGCTGAGGGGGAAAGGAACCAAACATCAGTTCAGATGGAGGAGGAGCATTATTTAGAGGAAGTTTGTTGAATCGTGTCTTCATGGACCTCTGGCATCTCTTATCTCTGCTGAGTGGCGTAAAAGGCACCTCAGCTCCTACAATAAAGGGAATTTCTCAGAAAGCTCAACTCGGCTCCTACAGCACAGAGGTTAGTGGGAAAGAAGCTGATAAGAAACACCACTTCTTGGCATTTTATTTAAAAAGAGCGCCGCGTAAATTGAAACTGAAACCGCCACTTTTATGTTCCGGGTATTTACTCTGTTTTAAGAAAAGCTTTTTTGTTTTATTTTATTTAAGTCAGAAGATGGGGGACAAAAACCCCCAGAATGGAACGGGGAACGGTCAATACCTGGGAGCCAATGGTCCAGATGTGACGGTCCGAACTGAGCGCATCCTGAACGGAGACTGTGCGCCCCCGACGCGCCTGTACAAGAGGCGCTGGGTGATCGTGCTCCTCTTCAGCTCCTACTCTCTGTGCAACGCGTACCAGTGGATCCAGTACGGCATCATCAGCAACATAATCACCAAGTTCTACCGCGTGGACARCTTCGCCGTGGACTGGCTCTCCATGGTCTACATGCTCRCCTACATCCCGTTCATCTTCCCGGCCACCTGGATCCTGGACAAGAAGGGGCTGCGCTTCACCGCGCTCCTGGCGAACGCGCTGAATTGCGCAGGGACGTGGATAAAGGTGGCCAGCGCCAGGCCCGACCTGTTCTGGGTCACCATGCTTGGCCAGTGCGCAAGTTCTCTCGCGCAGATCTTCATCCTCGGGATGCCCTCCAGCCTGGCGTCCACCTGGTTCGGAGCCAATGAGGTTTCCACCGCCTGCTCCATTGGAGTTTTTGGGAATCAGGTGAGACTAGTCAGTACTTAAAAAAAAATTTTTTTTTTAATTAGAACCCATGTTTTTAAAAAGTTGGGAAGGGTGTTGGTGAGCGTTC